AAATAGCACTGGTTATTATGAAGATAAAGTGGAGAGGGGAACCAGATGTACTACCTTGAGTTCCTTGGAGGAAAAGTGGAATGTAAACAATACAGCAAAAATATTTTGGAAATGTTTACCTCTCTCATAATCCCTTTTGCTCTCTCCTGGCCCCCATATTGGTATTGGATACTGTCAACAATAATTAAGTACTATCTTTTTTTATTCTTACTTGGGATACCTGCCACAAACCCTGGAGAGCCAGTGCCAGATTTGATGAAGCGAAGGGCCATGGGGGCTGACCAAAGGACCAACCGGTTGTTGACCTTTTTTTAGGATTGAAAAGTTGTTGAGCTTTTTCTATGATTTTACCCCAAAGTTGTTGGGCATTTTTTAGGATTGAAGTTGTTGAACTTTTTAAAAGGTTTTTTAGGGGTGGAGTTGTTTGTTGAGCTTCTTTTAGGATTGAAGCTGTTGAGGTTTTTTTAGGATTTTACCCCAGGAAATAAACTGCCACAGGGGCCGAATTAAACCGACCAGCGTGCCGGATTAGGCCCCTGAAGCAGACTTTGGACATGCCTGCCATAGGCCATTCTGGATGGGACTGGCGGGAGTTGTAAACCAATACCCCTGGAGAGTACCAAGTTGGCTGTGCCTGGACAACCCTGGACTAGATGGTAAAAGAATATCTGACCTGGTAAACGACTGCTTTCTGTGTTCCCCAGAGAGCAGATCATGGTGAGGTTGGTACGCAGACGTTCTCCACCCGCCGCATCCAAAAGCACATTCCAAACTGCCTCGCAGCTTCTACATTTTCAGGTGAAGAAACACTCTCACACCACCTGCGCATTGGCATGAGAGTGGGATCATTGATTCTTGGAAGACAAGTATATGCGGCAACGTACGGCAAGAACTGAAGCTTGGAGCGGCTGCCAAGTGAAACCGCAGGGAGGATATGGAAGGGAGATTATCTGTTGGGATTGCAGCCAGAATGCCTGGGGAGAAAAATGCCATGAGAAATATTCCGAAGGCTAGGGAGCATCTATGTGGAAAGCAGATTAGGCATCTTCAGCCTCCAGTGCCAACAGGGAAATCACGGTCCCGATTAAGATCTGCAGCTGAGGGGCAGGCGTGTCGCTCTGTGCGTTGGCAAATGGCTGCAGTATGCGAACAGGTGTGGGTTTGTTATGCAGTTTCCTTTCTTTCTCTGCCCAGGTGACATGTCCTTTCATGTGAAAATGGAGATCAAAGGTGGGGGCACTGTAGGCAGCCAAAAACAGCCTTGTGAAAACAAGCACTGCAAAATTGACCGTGCAACACTTTGAACATACGTTTCCACTTACAAGGCAGATTTGAGGGGGGCCTTGGGCAAAGTGTGTTTTGGTGAGTCATCTCTTCCGTCAGTGAGCCCTGGCTGCGGTGGCAAAGCAGGGCTGGACAGCTCACTCTAGCCATCACATTAATTTCCCATAATGCCCCAGGGCATTGTGGGGAATTTAAAGAGTGGCTAGATCCAGCCCAGGGCATTGTGGGGAATTTAAAGAGTGGCTAGATCCAGCTGCTACGTGCTGCTCTGAGTGCCAGTCCAGAATGTAACATTGGCCTGTGGCAGGAATCATCTGTTGACTCTGCCAGTGAACAGCACCTAGCTTCAATTACCTTACTGCCCTTGTTCTTAATACTATGCAAGCGTCTCAATTTATTGCCTAGCCATGTCTCAAAAAACATTGGGCAGGACATCTTTTTCTTCCAGTGGTCTTAACATATGCATCTGAAGAAGTGTGCATGCACACGAAAGCTCATACCAAGAACTAACTTAGTTGGTCTTTAAGGTGCTACTGGAAGGAATTTTTTTTGTTTTGACTATGGCAGACCAACACGGCTACCTATCTGTATATGCATCCAATGTTAGTTCTCCTCAGAGTAGACTCACTGAAATGAAGAGGACTAACCTAGGCCCAAATATTTCAAGGGGTTTACTCTGAGGAGAACGTAGTTGGATATAATTTAAAGAAATCTGCTTCTGTGGAAATATGAGGCCCATGAACGAAACACATTTAGAAACTAAGCATTAATTTGATAGGCATCTTTCCCAGAATCTGATTCACTATGTCCCAGGCATGTGTCAATCACACAATTCAAATGCAGGTCCTGCCCTTTAGCATTCAAATGATCACTAAATTCAGTAACTGGGCAGTGGGGGGTGGGGGTGGGGTAGCAATCCTGGTTTTTTGCTCACCATAAACACTGGCAGAACCAGCTGTAAGATTTTAGAGGCTTTCCTGGGACTACTTGAGTGCAAGACAGTCAACACGGCACCTTCCAAATGTTGTTGGACTACAACTGCCACCATCCCCAATCACTGACCATCCTGGCCGAGGGTTAATGGGAGTTGTAGTCCCAATCTGCCATCCACACACAACACTTTTCCGCTAGATTTTCCTCCCCACCTCTGATGGAAAATGCAAATTGTGAAAAGCAAACACAACCATAAATTTTGGTAACACTGTCAACGTGCTAAATACAAACCACGCAGTTAAGAAGGGGCATTTTATTTGTTCATTTATTGAAGGTTGGTTAGTACAATTTAATATTTTGCAATATGTTAAAGTGAACATCTTTTAATTAAAAGAGCCCCAATAACACACACATGAATGCAGCCTATCAGTGGAATAAGTATCCCTCTTAAAGCTGGGCCTTGAGACATGTGGAATAGATGCTTGCTGCCTAAAAAGTCAGCCTTTTTCTGCACAAGGTCAGATACAAGCTACAGAGAAGAGAAAGAGCTGTCTCCAAGAACTGTAATTCCACATATGGGAACATTATAATCTCAGATCTATACAGAACTGAAACTATATCAGGTGTTTTAGATCTGCGCTGTTGCATTACTGCAGAACCAGAAATTAGGGAGAAATAAACCAGGAAGAGGAGCTGATATGCTACCTGTATGACACTAGATCTGGCAGGAAAGAAGGTGGGGCAAGGAAAAAAAACCCCTTCTCTTTTCCATAAACAGCAGCAAACCAAAGTTGGCCTAGTTCCGATTACACAGACCGCAGGCTGCTATGGCAAGGTCTTACCAAAACAAAAGGCTTTCCCAGTGGACAAAAACAAACACCCCCCACTCCTTTACAGCTTTTATTCCAAGCACTGATCTGCTAAAAATTATATTCTAGAGTGGGAAAGGGAGATTGCCTTAATTAGATCGAGGGATTTTACATCCATTTGATTTCCTGCTATCTGTCAACCCCCAGATGGGGAAATCTCAGTGATTATATACTTATGACTCATCTGTTAAGTTTCAAGGGAATAGTAGAAAAAAACATGAGGATGGGGAGAGTCAGGACACTCATTGTGGTAGCTGGAGCAACACTGACTGTCCTGAGGGCAGGTAGGTGATGTTGCGGGAGCGCGAGAGCTGGTAAGCGATGTCTTCGGCTGCCTCAAGTTTGCGCAGCTCAATGAGGCCGTCGCCCACTGAAGACAGTGACGTGGCGATGAGCTCAGCTGCCTTCGAATCCCCCTCAGCTGAGATTATAGCGGCTTTCTTTTGCTGCTCTGCCTGTGAAGGGGACCGGGTTGGGGGGGGGGAGAGAAGATACAGACAGTGAACTTTGGCCAAAGGGCAGTGCTGATAAACAGGTCATGTGCCCCCAATAATAATGAACTCAGGTGGCGCATGCCGACAGAAGTGTAACCAAAAGCAGACATCCGAGAAAACCAGAGTAGCAGCAGTTATCTGCAGACTTGCATGCGCAGATACACTCAGTGATGGCTCAGCATGCTCAGTAGCCATAGGAGTGTCAGAAAAAGAGACCAGGCTCCAATTGCTGACCTAGGCTAGGCAGCGTCAAGCAAGTCATCATCTTTCACAGCCCAGCCTATTTTACAGGACAGTCAATGAGATAAATGAAAAGGGCCAGTTTAAAGGTAAAGGGGACCCCTGACCATTAGGTCCAATCGTGGCTGACTCTGGGGTTGCGGCGCTCATCTCGCTTTATTGGCCGAAGGAGCTGGCGTACAGCTTCCGGGTCATGTGGCCAGCATGACTAAGCCGCTTCTGGCAAACCAGAGCAGCGCACGGAAACACTGTTTACCTTCCTCCCAGAGCAGTACCTATTTCTCTACTTGCACTTTGACGTGCTTTCGAACTGCTAGGTTGGCAGGGGCAGGGACTGAGCAATGGGAGCTCACCCCGTCGCGGGGATTTGAACCGCCGACCTTCTGATCGGCAATTCCTAGGCTCTGTGGTTTAACCCACAGCGCCACCCGTGTCCCTGTCAATGAGATAAATGAAAAGGGCCAGTTTAGGTGGCTTCAAAAAATGAGGTAAGACAAATTCATGGAGTCTTCCAAGGCTTCAATCTGAGCCCAATTGAGTTCAGTAGGACTTAGTTTTGAGTAAACATGCTTAGGATCGCACTGTAAGTCTGTTACGGTAGCTATGGGTCATGCCAGGTGCAAGCAGCCTCCAGATTTCAAGAGGCAGTTCCACTCGCTGAGGAGCAAAAACAGGATATGGCAGTTGCTTTCTTCTCTTGCTTGTAGGTTTCCCAGAGAACATCTGGCTGGTACTGCAGAAAATAGGATGCCTCTGGTCTGATCCCAGAGGATTCTGATGTCTCTTATGCAGGGGTGGGGAACTCACGGCCCTCCAAATCCTTTTTCGCTCCCAACTCTCATCAGCTCCAGACAATGGCCAGGCTTGATGGCATTTGTAGTCCAACAACATCTGGAGGGCCACAGATTCCCCAAAGCTGCTCTAAAGCATTTGCAACACAGAAACGGTGCATTGGAAGGGATGGGTTCTGCAGAACATGAAGCAAGTGGAACACTGAATGAGGTGGAAAAACCCCACCTCGGTTGTTGCATTGGCAAGAAACAACGACAGATGTTGAGGCCAGCTGGCAAGCTCAACGTCCTCACCTTTTCCACGATGAATCTGGCTCGCTCTGCTTCTTGCTGTGCGACTTGCTTCATTTCTACTGCCTCCGTGAACTCCTTTCCGAATGTCAGATGTGTCTAAGAGGGAAGAATAGATGCACGTGCTCAAAAAACATTTCTTTATTGTCTTACTTCCAAACAGATTCCCAGGGCAGGAGATGTACAAGAGGACAGAGGCTTAATTGAAACATAACATAACACAAAGTAATTACAAAGACGGCCAAGGGATTATAGAAATTTAAAATGACTGGGTAAGTAAAAATATGCCTTAACCCGGTGCTGAAAAGATGGTAAAGTAGGCACCAAATCTGGAGAAACATGATCAGTCCCAAAAGGAGGTAAGGTCCACAGCTTATATGCAGGTTTCATTTAAGCACCACTGGCTTAACATATGTATTGCATTGGCTGCTGTTTTCTTTTAATTGATTAGGTTAGCAACATCTACAGACTTGGTACTTTACAAACAGGTTTGACAGGTCTCTGCTGCCCCAAAAGACTTACAGTCTAGAAAAGAAAGGAAAAAAAACACAGAGGCAAACAACATAAGGAAAACAACAGAGGAAGGTGGGGTGATGAAGGGGGTAGGGAAGGAAATTAGGGGAAGAATATGTGATTATTTCAGTTCTATGCACTTTCAGTTAGCTATATTAGGGTACTGGGATTAGGAGGCTGTTCCAAAGTAGGAATAGGCAATCTAGGTGTTGCTGGACCCATCAACTTCATCAGCCTTATCAATGACTGCGATGCAAAGCCAAATCTCAAAATTCAGTTCAATCGAGCATTTTTTCCTATTGGATGCTGTGTGTGATTCTCCCTGTTCTACTTGCTATTGGATGTTGCATGTTGTTTAAGCAATCTTGTTAAATTTATAGTATTGAAATACGAGGGTGGGGGTTTGTATGCTGTTATATTTTTGTTTTGCTGTGCTATTATGAAATTTGTTACTTTTTTTTACTTTGCAAAAAACTGATTTTTTTTTTGCATTTGTTAGAAATGCACGCCTGTTTCTTTGTTGTAAGCGGTTTTGAGCATTATATTTTAGTGGGAAGGTGGCATACAAATAAAATAAAAATTTATTGCAAAGCTCTTCAGTACGTTATCCACAACTTTCCCCTCTTCTCCTTTTCATGGAATCATAGGACTACCGCATCCCTGTTGTTGTTGGTGGCTGGCTGAGTTCTTGCATTCTTACAGGCAAAGAGCACTGCAAAGCCAGAGAAATAGAGTATACCATATTCTAGAACAGAGCTTTCCAAACTTTTCATGTTGGTGGCACACTTTTTAGACATGCATCGTTTTGTGACACAGTAATTCAGTTTTACTAGCAATCAGGAGGTTAAACTAACCCCTTTCCAGCATGGGGTGTGTTCGCGTGATACACCTACACACCGCAGCTGACACACTAATGTGTTGTGACACGGTTTTGAAAGCTCTGTTCTAGAATCTAGACTTCTAAGAACTACTGGTGAAATCTTGGCCTTCTTCCACATTGCTGGAAGCAGAGATGGAAAATACACACACACACACACACACACACACACACACATATCCTGGCTCTCAATTGTGAAGGTTCCTAAGCATTTGGTATAACAGCTTTGGAGTTTTGACAGAGACGCCACTGAGGGACTTGAGAATTTTGCGTTGCTTTTCTTTGAACCTCGATAGCCTCCCAAACCTCTCACTGCATCCAGCAGAGGCCGCCCTCAAGCTTGCTCACTTCTCCCAGCTGTACTTTGAGCATCCCTTTGATGGGGAACCCTTGACCTGTCAGATAGTTAAGACTCCTACTCCCATCAGCCCCTAGCAGCACTACAAATGGTTGGGTATGATGGGAATTGCAGTCCAACAACATCTGAAGGCCCATAGGCCCACTTTAAGGATCAAAACACAACCTCAGCCTGAATTCTGCAAACCGGCTGCGGTAGCTGACCAATTTGGAATCGAGACCTTACTATTGGTTTGCGGTATTGGAAGGGCTAACCATGGCCTTAAGGTTTGCATGCCCGGCAGGTGAAAAACAAAATCACTAACTTATTTAACTCTGGAGAAAATAAGACACGAACCTAACAGCTTCTGAATAAACACGTATTTTTTCCCAGCAGTAAATATTCCCCCGATCCAAATCTTCTGCTTCCTCTGCCATGAATTTTTTTTCACTGCAGATTTTGTGGTGCAGAGAATGGAATTTGTAGGGTCCAGTCCCTAAAGTCAGAGTGGGAAACCTGTGATCCTCCCGGACAGGCATAGGCAAACTCAGCCCTCCAGATGTTTTCGGACTACAACTCCCATCATCCCTGGCCACTGGTCCTGTTAGCTAGGGATGGTGGGAGTTGTAGTCTCAAAAACATCTGGAGGGCTGAGTTTGCCTATGTCTGCTCCAGAATTTGCTGGATTAGAACCAGTGACTACTGGCCATGCTGGCTGGGGATGATAGGAGCGGGAGTTCAGCGAGGTCTAGAGGGCCACAAGCTTCCTTTCCCTGCTGTAAACCAAACTAGAAGGTAGCTCTTACCAAGGAAACATCATCTAGGATGAGGCCAAAAGTTGCCGCTCTTTCCGTGAGGTCTTCGCTCACTTGCCTGGAAACGAGTTCTCTCTGCGTGATCAACTCACCAGCATCAAAGCGAGCCTAAAAAGGAGACAAGCAATGATAAATGCGGAAGTAAACCAAAGAGCTTTCGTTAAAGCTGCGAGCCCCTGTTACAACATAGCCCTAAGGAGCCTGCAAGGGACACTGCTGGATGTGGATTGCCAAGTCAGCATCCTCTGATCTAGGCAAATGCATGAACACACCTTCCCTGCTCTTTCCCTCCATTACTCTGAGACATTATCCAATACCACTTTAGTTAAGGTAAAAAAAAAGAAAGGTAAAGGACCCCTGGACAGTTAAGTCCAGACTACGGTGTTGCAGCACTCATCTTGCTTTCAGGCCGAGGGAGCCGGCATTTGTCCACAGACAGCTTTCCGGGTCATGTGGCCAGCATGACTAAACAGCTTCTGGCTCAACGGGACACCCTGAGGGAAGCCAGAGTGCACGGAAACGCCGTTTACCTTCCCGCTGCAGTGGTACCTGTTTATCTACTTGCACTGGTTTGCTTTCAAACTGCTAGGTAGGCAGGAGCTGGGACAGAGCAATGGGGGCTCACCCCGTCACAGGGATTCAAACCGTCGACCTTCTGATCGGCAAGCCCCAAAGGCTCAGTGGTTTAGATCAGTGCCACCCTTTACCACTTTAGTTAGCACCGAGCTAGACATGACACTGTTTATGCTATTGAAAATTATTAAAAAGAAAAGCAGTGGGAAGAGGTGATCTAGATCAGAACTGCAGAACTGGCACAGGGTAAAAGCCCCTCTGCCCACATCAGGGTTTGTATCAGGCCAGCCACGCCTACCATTTATTATTTTATTTATTATTATTATTACTACTACTACTATTATTATTATTATTATTGTTGTTGTTGTTGTTGTTGTTGTTATTAGAGTTTATATAATGGAGGTCTCAGGGCGGTTTAACCCTCTCACATCTAGCTTGGCCCTTGGTTAGTATTTAAAAGGATCAATCCTAATGGAAAACTCTGTGACCCAAAGTGTGCTGCTGGTCTCCATGTACCCCTTAAGATCTCTCCTTTGGCTTTCTAATACAACCGCTCCCCTTTTCCTTCCTTCAAAGGACGAGAAAAGAGGAACACAAGGCCCAAAGATAGGGGAGGGGCAGCTGAAGCCCTCCAGCTCTTGTGGGACTCTAACTCCCATAAGCCCCTGCCAGCATAATCAACAGTCAAGGATGATGGGAGCTGCAGTCCAAGGTTCCCCAGCCCTGCCATTTAGGGCTCCAGTATTAATGGAGCCAGAGGCTTCCAATGAAAAGAGGAATATCACCAGCTGTTCCTTGGCCCTTACCACCACAGATTTGAGGATCTCAGTTGTGATGGAAGGCAGCACCCGCTCATCGTAATCCTCGCCGATCGTGGTGAAAATCCGGGGGAGCTGCATGGTCACCGGCCTGAACAAGATCCTTAGTGTGATGTTCACGTTCTGTAGATCTACCGGGGGAGGGAAGCAGGGAGAGGGTCAGAACAGGAACAAGTCTCAGCAAGTGCTAAAGGTCAAAATGTGAAGTTGGATTGGCGGTGGCGGCACAAATTCCACCACTACTGCTTTAGGGGTTCGCAGGTGGGACCCGCAACAAAATGTTGCTGGCATCGAGGATTCCAAACTCCGTCCCCCACTCCCAGTTTTCAGTTCCTGCCCCCTCCCTAAAGCAACAGCTGCTCAGAGTCCAATATCCTGCTCAGAACACTCACTGCTCAGTGAGCTCTTGGGAAGAGAGGATTCCAAAGGTTTTATGTACTTCTGCAAACCTTGGGGCTCCCCACAAACTTGCTAATGCCACCCCCACTTTGGATATATAAGCAGCAGCACTGAGATGGCTATGACTGTTGTTGTCGGCATCCGTCCGTCTTGAGAGACAATGGAGCACACCTCTGGGGGTGAAGTCAAACCGCTGTGTCAGCAGCAGCAAAGTGAGCTCCCTAGTGTACAAGCCAGGGCATTGCATACAAAGTTCTTCGGCTGCCCAGACGCCTTGCTGATGTGGTCCAAAGGAAAGCAGAACAATATGTTTGGCACCAGCTTGGCTGCAGTTGCTGCCGGAAGGAGCAGTACAAGGTGCCATTCAACCATCTTAGGGATTCCAAATTTGTGTAGGGTTTACTCCTTAGCCTTTTCTTCTCCTGAAGATGTCCCTCAAAGGCAGCGGTGGTTTAAGATCAGAGTTTTCCTTTTCCTAGATGGGCTGCCCACCCAGGTTGACAAGCCCCATCTGCCCCTCACTTCCGTCTACAGCATGTGCAGAAACTGCCTTCTTGATTGTTGGATCCACTACAGTGGTACCTCAGGTTACATACGCTTCAGGTTACATATGCTTCAGGTTACAGACTCCACTAACCCAAAAATAGTGCTTCAGGATGAGAACAGAAATTGTGCTCTGGCGATGCGGCAGCAGCAGGAGGCCCCATTAGCTAAAGTGGTGCTTCAGGTTAAGAACCGTTTCAGGTTAAGAACAGACCTCTGGAACGAATTAAGTACTTAACCTGAGGTACCACTGTATTGGTTTTGTTCGCTCAATCTGCTGGAGCTTGTCTTCACATGCAGGGGAAGTCCCTAGCTCCCTGAGGGTTTGAGACCCACCGACCACCCACACGTGGTTCAGCTGGCCAGTCGAAGCCATTCTCGGGGAGTGGCTGCTATTGCATGTTGGCATCTTCTAGGAGTCCTGGGTGAGAGCTGGGTGCAAGGACAAGCTGGAAAAACCACCCCAGGAGGACTATGACATGTCCCCTAGCAGAGGTATTAGGTAAAGGTAAAGGGACCCCTGACCGTTAGGTCCAGTCGCGGGTGACTCTGGGTTTGCAGCGCTCATCCCGCTTTATTGGCCGAGGGAGCCGGCGTACAGCTTCCGGGTCATGTGGCCAGCATGACTAAGCCACTTCTAGCAAACCAGAGCAGCACAAGGAAATGCCGATTACCTTCCCGCCAGAGCAGTACCTATCTACTTGCACTTTGACATGCTTTCGAACTGCTAGGTTGGAAGGAGCTGGGACCGAGCAACACGTTGCGGGGATTCGAACTGCCGACTTTCCAATCAGCAAGCCCTTGGCTTGGTGGTTTAGACCACAGCGCCACCCGCGTCCCACCAGAGGTATTACCCCTCCCCTAACACCCCATACACCCCTTGCTATGACTACGTGCAACATTATGGGAAAGGACATATTCAAATGGATGTCTTCTTTCTCAATTTTAAAGCAGCCTTTATAGCTGCTGCTAAAAAAATGATGCATTTGTGGTCAGAAGCTGGTATGTAATTAGGGCAGCTCGCCTTTGTGTTTAGTTTCTTGTTACCCAGACCCAACTTCCAACTCCCGAGTCCAGAGGGTAAAAAACTGCACCCACCCACTGCTCACCTTTGCTGCCAGTGATTACAGGAACGTTACGTGGGCGTGAGCGGCAGTCAAAGATGATCGGCTTCTGCACCCAGGGAATGAGAAAATGGGTCCCTTCTCCCACCACTATGTCCTGGACGCCTCGGAATCGGTCAAAGATGACAGCCCTGTGGCCTGCGTCAACTAGAGAAGAGAGAAACAGCTCAGCAACATTGCACTCAAAACACAAAGAAGAAATATTGAATGATTATGTGACAATCGCTATGCCCAGATTCTAGGTAAACCTGGATTCATTTACACGTTCTTCTGGAAGCTGTTTTTTTTTTGGGGGGGGGGGCACATGACAAAGGTGAGTGGGGCCAGAGGCAAAACTGGGAAGTTCAATAAATGTGAATTTTACATTTGCGCCATCCACACTCCTGAAAAACCATTTTAGAAAACCATTAAGAAAGACCAGTTGAACAGCACATGTTCAAATCCCCAAACACTTACCAATACACCCCCTTACTCCCCATTTGTCCTACTCCCTTGGTGGACTGGTCTTTCTTTTTCTTCCACCTCACCGGTGCATTCTTAAAGGGACACTGTATTAAAGAATACAAATGGGCCTGAAGAATGGAAGCCCCTTTCGGATTATTTGAAGAAATTTTACAACATGAAGAATCCGCAAACAGGTTTTGAGTTATGAGCAAAAGAAAGGATTAGAAACTATTGTGCTAGGAGGACTATAGTAAAAAGAGTGTGGATAGGATGCAGCAAAGGGGGTGAAAAGGAAAAACGGGTTGGGAAGTCAAAAATAGAAAAGTAATTTCTTTTTTAAAGGTATTGGAATTTTATGAAATTTCAGAAATTTAATAAACACACACACACACTACAAATGGGCCAAACAGGTCCTGCAGCAAGTTGTTTTGTGGAGTGCTTGATTTAGAGCAGGGATTTGATTTAAATCAAATCAAATCAATGTAAATCATGATTTAAATCACTAGTCTGTAAGACTTGATTTAACTCATTTTTTTTCTAACAGAAAGACTCATTCTTGCTGGTATAATCTTAATATTTACAACCAGATGAAGGTTTCATTTTTGGAATAATAAATTTTCAGGGTAGTTTTTACAGTTATATCAAAAATTAATGATTTGGTTATACTATTGAAAATACATAGACAGATAACTTATTAAACCTCACAATAATTTCATAATTAACTGTTTATATTTGGACAACTTTTCTGCTGTACTTTATTGGAAGGAGAAAAATAATCATTAACAATTTAAACAATTTATTTAACTAAAACAATAACAATGTAGCATATGTATCCATGTTTGTTAACTGATGTGGGTTTTTTTAAACAACAACAAGCTTAGACTGAGTTTTAGCACACATGAAAAACTTGAAAAAAATCCTTATTTCCTGATGAATAGCCTTTGGACTATAATGTAACAAATAGAAAACTATCTTTAGAAAGATTTTTCCTCCAAAAGCATTTTATTTTTTAAAAAATTAAAAAAAATCTGATCTAATTTTTTTAAAAAATAGATTTTTAATTTTTTTTTAAAAAAAATCATTGATTTTTATCCACCCTGATTTAGAGTTCCGCCAGTCATGCCCCCTTCCAAGGTATGTCATTCCATTCACCAAGCCATCAATGTTCTATGCACATTGAGCACGCTCAGTCCCCAAATATATTTTTGTACTTCTGCAGGCCTTGGCGTTTGTCCAAGCCACCCACTTTGGTGAGATAAGGGCTGGTGCTCAGAGAACGAGTTTGCCTATAAACAGGACTAAATAAGCACATTCCTCCTTCTCCCCACTACAAAATTACAGAACCAGGTGAAGCCAACAGCACTGGCCTAAGTTGGATGAACTCAACGGCTACCAAAGCGTAAGTGACCTATAAGAAAGATAGGGAATTAGGCTTGTTGCAGCCAAAGCATTTGGGACTGTCTCCTATCGCACCAGTAGACCAGGGGTAGCCAATGTGGTGGTTCCTTTCTAGATCTTTCTGGACTACAACTCCATCAGCCCTGGCCATTCCCCCTGTTGGCTGGGGCTGACGGGAGCCAGAATCCAACAATAACTGGAGGGCGCCATTTTAGCTACTGCTGCTGTAGACCATATTCAGGAGAAATACCGTAACTGTATATTCACTGCTGTGCTTTGTTTTTATTTTCCGACTGCAGCACCTATAGAGGTGAGGATCCAGACCCTCATATTTTTTATAAAAATCACTGCTACATAGCCTGTGGGAAAGGATTGGATCCTGTAGACTCCCATCTTATTCCACAGGAAAATCATGAGAGGGTGTGGTTTGTTTTGGGCTGAAGAATTCCAGATAAACAAAAATAGTCATGCAACAGCTCAGTGCTATGGAAGAAAAGGCCTCCTCACCGTTATAAAGAGCAGAGTTGACGACTCCGCCGGCAACTGCCAGCCCCAGGCCAAGTTTGCCGACTGTCTCAAAGATCTTGGTAGCCATCGGTGTCAGCTCAAATCCGCCTCCTGTGTTGCCGAAAAAGTCACACCTACTCAAACATAAAGGAAAGATGCAGCAGCATTAGACAACTCAGTCAGCGAAACACCTTCCCAAAAGATACCATTGTAGGGGGTTGGACTTGACCACCAGGGTGGTTCCATCTCTCCAATCCTATGATTCTAAGCCCCCCAGCCCCCCCCCAGCTTGCAATGCACTCCAAGGCATCTGGAACACAGTCTGAACAGAAGCTTCCTGTGCTTTTTCTACATTCGTCTCTCACCTCAACCCCATATTTCCCCCTTCTCAGGGACCACTGCCATTCCCAGTCTTGCATTACCCGCCTCCTTCTCCCCCCAACCCCCCACCCTCTCTCACCATCACTATATTCTACCGCTGCTTACTTTTTAATTTTACCAATCATGAGAGCTCTGCTGCTGCAGCACGAGACTCCTTAATCTCAGGGTTGTGGGTTCAAGACCAGCGTTGGGCAAGATTCCTGCACTGCAGGGGTTGGACTGAATGAAGCTCTACAATTCTGACAGATACTGCACATCCTTTTCCTGCTCAAAACCCCAAAAAGATGGAGGGCAGGGGAATCGCCGCCTTCCACTTAACTTTAGGCAAAAGCATTCCTCTTCTCCCAAGCCTAGGAACAACCAAGGGCCTTTTTAACTGTGTGTGTTTGGGGAGGGTGTGCGTGAATTATTATTATTAAAATTATGCTATATATTTTCGTGTTTTCTATTGTAAACCGCCCTGTGATCTTCGGGTGAAGGGCGGTATAGATATAAAATAATAATAATAATGATAATAATATTCTCAGCACCGTTCTCCCTTTCCTACTTTACCTCGTTACTTTAGGTCACTAATTAACCTCCACGCTCTCCCAGCTCCGTTTCCCTACCTTCCCCTCCCCTTTCTCTTCCTTTTCTGTAGCCGCTGGCGTGCCAAGCACCGTTTGCCAACCCTCCCGGGGCTCCGGGGCGCGAAGGGCGCAGCAGCCAAGGCCCTTCGCCTCCCGCGCTCGACTCTCACCTCGCAGCGCAGCGCTGACCTCCGCGTGAATGCCCAGCCACCTGGTCCTTGTCGCTCGAGGCATGACGCGAAACCCGCGCGACCGCGGAGCGTCCCGCGATTGGCTCCCGCCTAAAAGGGCCGCTACGCCTGACGGGATCGGTAGTTCCCCAGCCCATCTCCTGCGCCGTTCGCAGGGCGCTTAACGGCAGGACCTTCCCTTGGAAGGCGTGAGAACTACAGATCCCGAAGGGACTACAGGCGTTAGAACTACAGATCCCGAAGGGCACCGCGGCACCACCGCCTCCTACTTTCGCCTTTGGGGCAGCGCAAGGGGATCCTGGGAGTTGTTGTTCGCCGTATTTGGTGCTCGTTCCCACCTGTAAGCACCAAGGGCAGGAGGCAGTGGTGCCAGTGCGGGAAGGGAGGGGGAAACAAGCGCCCCTCCCAAATATGGAGCTTGTTCACCCCCACCCCACCCATTGCTGGACACCTGTCATTCTCATATACTCATATTATTATCATCATCATTACGTTATCGATATCGTTATCGGCGATATAGATATCGACATTATCGATATCGTCGGTAAGTATATTGATATCGTTATCGTTATCGGCGATTTCGATTTCGATATTGTTACCGTCGATATATCGATATCATCGTTAGCTGGCTGTTTGGGCTTCCTTGCCGGGAGAGGCTGCGCAGGGCTAAAGAAGCCATATGGAACAAGCCTGCATTCGCTCCATAGGACGCACACACATTCCCCTCAATTTTGCGAGAGGAAAACCTGTGTCCAGTGTCTAGCGCAAAATACGGTTACATCAAAACTATATATATTTTCTTAAATCAGTTCAAAAAGGACTTCCATTTCCTTTTCAAAAAACCCGACACCCCACTATTATTGTTGTCGTTTAGTCGTGTCCTGACTCTTAGTGACCCCCTTCCCCTGAAGATGCACAGGGGCGGTTCGCAGCATAACCAATAACAATAAAAGGTTAAAGGTTTACCCCTGCCGTACGGGCCAGTTCTTGGACAGACTCTAGGGTTTTGTGCGCCATCTCGACTCAAGAGGCCGGGGGCCAGCGCTGTCACGGCAGACACTTCCGGTCACGTGGCCAGCCGTTGACAAGCTGCATCTGGCGAATCCAGCGCAGCACACGGAACGCCGTTTACCTTCCCGCCAGTAAGCGGCCCTATTATCTACTTGCACCGGGGGTGCTTCGAACGCATAGGTTGGCAGGCGCTGGGCCAGCAGCGGAGCGCACCCCCGCCGCGGTGGATTCGACCGCCGACCTTTCGATTCAGCAAGTCCTAGGTGCTAGGCTTTAACCCACAGCGCCACCCGCGTCCCTAACAATACAATAGGAGAACACAAAATAATTACTAAAAACAAGAACAGAACAGATCCGATAACTATGGAAGATCTCTTGCCTCTGCCAGTGCTGCCTCTACAGCAGCCTTTTGTTGAATAGGAAGACTGCTGGTCTCTCCCCTCCCCTAGTGAGGAAATGGTGGGGGCTGCCCTGTGGGGCCATAGCTGTCAACTTTTCCCTTTTCTTGCAAGGAATCCTATTCAGAATAAGGGAATTTCCCTTAAAAAAGGAAACATTGACAGCTATGTGTGGCGGTCTCCAGGGGTCTGCAGCCAGCCGGCGTGGACTTGAACTGGGGTTAACAGATGGGCAACCTACAAACCCAGGCCGATGCAGTCAATGATGTGGAGCCATTGTAGTACTTTTCTGCTATTAGAGGAGAGCAACCAAACAAACACACCCATGTCATTGTCAACCATTAAAGCTACTGGCAGCCTCCCA